CACAACTTCTGCGTAGATTTATCCACAGCGCATAGGATCGAAACACATTTTTATACCGACATTTTCAAGCCAAGAATTTCTCGGGAAAGTCGGCAGTGATTAAAACCTCATCAAATGGATTTAACGGAAGAAGTGGGGAAGCCACTTGGGAATGGAAACTCCCCAAATCCGACATTATTTCAAAATCCAGGCATTCTTAAAGTGAATTGTAATGGAATTCCGTCTCCTTAAAATGAATCATTTTAATTCTTCATAGCGCCTCGGCCCTTTTGTTTTGCTCGAGGTTGATCGCACTCTGGGTTAAATTGAGACGATGTTGTGTCTAACAAATAGATGGAAGATCCGTTCCCACCACTGAGGAAAATTTCTAGAAAGGTAGCAAAAATTACGGCTACTCCACTGCGGTATCCCACAAGAGGAGAAGTTACGTTAGTAACAAGGTATAGCAAATCAGGACTCAAATTTGGTATTTTATGAGGCAGGAGGGTGTGGTGGGAATCAACAAGCACCAACAATGTCCTCCTCCCCCTTCCCTTTTAGTGAACTTAATGCAGTGGAGTCATTACTCATTTGCTTATCTCCCTTTCTTGGGGTGACAAACAGCGAGGAAAATTTTCCTTTATGGCAGAGCAGGGATTCCTAATGTAAAAATATGTTCCACGGCATCACATTCAGTTTGCTATCCTCTGGTAAGCTCCCCTTGAGTACACTCCCGTCGATCCCATGCAAAGGGTTCGATTTAAGTTAACTCCATTATCCACTCCTTTGCCGAAGAAAACCAGTTGACACTACTTCTTGGTGGGTTTTAATTTAATCCCAAAGGGGAGCTTGTTCTTCCACCATTTTTGCTATCCTTTGTAATAGTGGTGTGTATTAGTGCGAAGAGGTAGCTAAATATTTGTTTTTTCGTATAAAACGGCAGATTTTCTTCCGCTGGACAAAACCTTGCAGATTGCTTTGTAGGTGACTTTAAAGCTTGCACATGTCTTCCGGATCGGCTTAAAATGGCTGTTTAACAAGCCTTGTCCGTAAATGAGCCCGGACTGGTCACTAAAACTGCCCGCCAGTTAACTCAGAAAACTACACTTGAAGAGCCGGAGGCGAAAGATACGGACTGAATGGTGGAACCGGATTTCGGCTTTCATGTTTTGAACACAAAACCGGAACATAAATCTGGCCTAAGATGATAAATTATACCATGTGAACTGGTCGAGTTTACCTCCTGGCGTCACTTCCGAGTGCCTAAATACGATTATTGGTTGGATGTTTTTCCATGGCCTTTCGAAGGTCATGGACAGCATAAATAGGTGTAATTCGTTGGTTGTTTATTTCACTCTCTCCGTCGGGTGACCAAGTCGCCAGACTGTCAGTAGCACCAACCCCCTCTGCATGTAGACAATACCATTCTGCGTAGGTATTGTGTATTTCCCATTCTTCAGAGAGGTCTCGGTGCGTTACACAAGTGTAACATTTACAGATAGTTTAAAAGGCCTGCTGTGAGAATACATTTCCACTGTTATTGTCATGGAGATAATAATTTAAGAATTGATACCTAGGTGTGTTTATTTACGAAATGAATAATTGCCTTTCAGACACTTATAATCCGCCCCTGGTTTAACTGTATGGAGAGGTTTCATAAACAAGTACACATCGTTTAGTGTTCCAGTCTGCCCCAAAGGTCGAGAAAGGCGGAATACTGATAAATTTACAGAAGAGCTGGTGAGCTGTCACCAAGATGCTGACCGAAGCTGCGCAAAAACTTAACCTGAACAAACTGCTGTGATTTCGAGGAAACGCCACTTTCTGTGTTTGGGTGTGAGTGCAAGGTCTAAGCTAAATCAAAATTGTGGGGTAACTGAAATTTCACCCTTACTTTGCTGGTACCAGAAAGCAAAGCGTGCACATGGGAGCATTTACGGTTTGTCTTAACGTGAAGCTGCCTACTAAATGCTAAACAGGGTTCGCACAATAATCATCGTTTAAGGGAAAGCTCGTCTAAAGGGTATCTTCAAAAGCAGTAATTAAGATATCCAAAAAGGGACCTTCCTTCGCAACTAAAGAGCATTTTAATGTCAAATCTAAAACTTTAATTTTTTTGCCATCACTTCCCAAACATGAGGGCCTTCCTTTTGAGCCCTTGCCAAATGCCCATTGGGAAGGTAAAGTTATTCTCAAATTTCCTCCTCACATGACTACTCCGCTCCCCCCTTAATATTATTAAGCTCTTAATAATTAACGAGAGGGTAAACTAACATGGGTAAATCTTGAGGTGTCACAGTCTCAAAGGCAAAATAAGGAGTGCACCAAATATTTTAAGTTTTGGAAAGGTAAACATTTACCAAAAAGTATATGCGCATATCATCATACCAAGTCAAAGTTCTTGTTTCAACAGACTTGGTGGGTTTTATTCTTGTCAACCGAAACATCGAAAATAATGGGAAGTAAGAGACTTTTGACACTATGGACGCGTTATTTGGTAGCCTTACCAACAACGCCTCAGGCATTGAAAGCGGAGAAATAAGGCAGCAAATGCTGGAGGTAACAGTCATGGATTAGTTTTAACCTGTTGGGTGGACTATGTTTTTTTGGGATTAGCCTCCTAGCTGATAGTGCTCTTTAGCCCTGACAGAGAGTAAACTTTCTCCTTTCTCTTGAGGAAATGTTAAATCTGATGGAGTAAGGGCTCATAAAATCTCGAAAACTGAATTTATTTTTCCACATGGTCGTCCGCGACATTTATGAGCTCTTTCTAGTACTTAACGAGTAGATGGAACTCATACTAACAACACTTTCCACTTCGTCATCGGTGCTGGAATATTGGCTTTTAAGTCATCCAGGAAGTACTTAACTTTCGAAACTGAACATTCTCGCGGGCCATTGTTTTAACCGGCTCCGGTGCAGTTTCACAGGAGGTTGTGTCGATTACCCGGATGAGCCTCAGCCCGAACTGAATTTTCATGGAAAAGACTGATTTGATGGCTATTGGGAATCACCACAGCAAACACTGCGAATGACGGACCATCCATGAGCGCCCCATCACCAGAACCTTGTATGTATGGGTTGATATCCGTGGATTTTACATCTTCGGTCATCACTCGTTGCACCAGGCAGGCAGTGTCATGATTGACTGCTATGCTGATTAACTGTGTCTGAGGTGGAATAACCCACTAACCACTTCGAGGGCGGCATCCTGCCCCAATCTGCAAAGCTAAAAGCCCCGATGTGACCTGAACGTCTCTCGTGCAAGCGATGCACCCATTCAGGAAAGTATGTTTAGCGGAAGGTTTAACATTAAGACTGACTAAAAGAAATCAGCTTTGATAAACTTTTGAAATGCGTAGTTTTTTTTCTGGAAGCTTCTCCTCCAACATGGAAAGTTATAACTTGGAAAGTTATGTAACTGTCTAGAAAGCTTTGATAAGGCCCCAATTACATCTATGGGGCAGATCCAAACGGATGTCCTAAGAACGCAGACTATTGATGGCCTTCATTTTTTATTAAAAATTGCAAAGTTGTAACTAAGGTGGTCACACGTTAAGGCACTCAATCAAGTATGCATATGGGACAGGAGTGAGTGTGGCCAGAAGGCAGGTAGACGTAAAGGCGGTCTAACATGCTTGGACTTGCCTATGGAAAATTTCATTTAGTTTCTTCGGAATAGGTAACGAAGACCATGGTTCTTCCCAATTGAATACAAAAGATTCTTAGCAAGACATCGCCCTTCTCACGCTAAACTGCATACTATTTCTTGGGAAGTCGTAAGGATCGGGCTGTCAAGTGTAGTGGGATGTCCGGCTACATTACTTATTAGTGTACCGAGTTGACATTGTTCCAGCATGTCATCCTGACTTTTCCTGATTTTTTCGACTGCTGTATGGGTATGACATCTGGATCTACAGTTATTTTCTAAAATTATCATCATTCGCTTTGCCCACACTCTATAAAAAACGCACAATATCAACAAACGAGAGTGTTGGCAGGCGAAGACTTACTCCAGATGGGACCATGCACGATAGTGGACGTTCATTGAAAATGTTTTGACAGGATCGTGAAGAGGAAAGCATATAATTAAGGGGTTGATTCAGATTTAACAAAATAAACACCTTCTAGACAAGGAGTAGAGGCTGCGCTTTAAACCTACTCAAACATAAACCACCAATACAAATGCCTTTGGGCACTTTGGAAAGGACTCTCGACGCCTAGCTTTGCCACCTGCTGACTTAACCAACTTGTCAAGTCTTTTGGCACCCACTGCCAACTTCGATATTTCCTTATTTTAGAATCAAGAGATGCCACTAAACGACTTTTAAATTTGAACTCAAGCCCTCCTTGTCCATAGTCGTCCTAGCAGGTTGCCAGAACAGCATCGAAACCATGAGGTACTTACGTCAATCAAATAACTAGTCAGAAGTGAGAGGAAAATAAGTGTTTCATAGTTAATTGCATCTGAGTTAACGATTGACGAGGGGGTACACTTTGCTTAATGCGGAAAGGGAATTTGTCTTTTTAAATGCTTCTCTACTACACTCATGGGTACACTTATCCATGCTTTCATCTAACGCCACAAAGGCTTCCACATAGAGAGATTTGTTAGCATGGCCGAAGTTTTTCAGGGCAGTCTGATTCACCTTGTCACCTGTGTTGGTCCAAAGTGGAGGGTGGTCTTTCCTCCAGTCTGTGCCAACATTTCAGAGTATCAAATGCTCATGAATGATTGCGGCCTATTTGATGCTGCCACAGAAGGAGGAGGCTTGTTCTGCATGCGATTGCGGTATGCAACAGTTTACACGTGGTCCAATCCATTTGTCTAGGAGGAGGCAGACATTCCACATGTAGGATGAGTGTTTGGAGGTATGAGTGCTGCGGCTCGGATTGGGAACCATGATGGTCGTAGTCGTGTAATTGTGTTTGAGAAGTTTGCAGCTATCAGGAATTTCACGACCGAGTGACTGATCGGCTTACCGCCATACTGTACCGTACTCAGAGTCTCGCATTCAAACCACGCACCATCACTGTTGCAAAGTGTTCGCTAAATGCTGTTGGAACGTTGACTGCCTTCTAATGCTGCGTGTAGGCCTGCTACGACAGCAGCTCTCTTCAAGTTCTCTCTCTCTCTTCAAGTTCCCAATGAGTCTTGTCTGCTCCTCATATCATCGTACTAATTATCCATCCATCCGTGCGTTTTGAACCAATTGATCTCGACTCGTACAGTAAATTTTACTTTGACAGACATAGTCAGCTCTCTGTTCTTTTGAAAATTGAATAACTCGGGACAAATTACTCTTCACATGGTTCTAATCAACCGCGAACAGGTGTAGATACTCAGGTATAAAAGGGTCTGATCAAATCCCAATGATCTAAATAAACTGTTTTGCTTAAATTCGGTAATCCCTATACACTAGCTGTAACGACTCTTTCCTTCATACCACGTGGACAATTGGAGAAGATGACGGTCCCTCTTTTATCGAAGGGAAAGGTCGTAATCACAGCTACAATTACTAGATACTTAACTCCGAGTACTTCTGCAAGTCAAACTTTTTATCACTGCGCATTTATTTTTACAGGGGTTGACGTCGTTTCTTACAATAAAGAAGGTTTGCTGTGTATTCTAACTACTTCATTAGTCGATATTTTGTTATCGCTCATGACAAGTATTACCTTGCAAATTTCTTCTCATAAACAAGTTGAAGTGTTTATGAAGTCCTCTGACCACTGAATTACTAAACACAAACACTTTTTAAACACTCTCAATACATGTTAATTGAACTCCCCGCATGTCTTCTTATTTGACGCAGGCCCCGGTATAGTGGAAGGCCCATTCATGATCCCCACAGTCAGTGCATTCTGCATCACCACAGCAAAACGAACTTATTTCTTGGGCAGCTCCAAATAACTTTGACCTCTTACTTGCTATCATTTCCAGGGAAGGAAATCTAAACTTCAACATTTAAACTTTAAACTTTAATAGTGCTCAGTGGTGGAGAAGATACAACAAGTTCACATTGTTGGCTTTGCCAACGCACCGTTTCCTTCTCTGCAAGCGCAGTCAATTGCTAACTCCTGTGCTCCTCTCAGAGGATCAAAAATGTGAAGATAAAGGCGCTACTATTAGGAAGGGAAAGAAATATTCTTTAACATTTAATTTTATGCTTGGCGTCAAAAAGCTACTGCCTCAGTTGTTACTAACACTAGTTAAGTCTCCTGAGTAACACACCCTCAACATTTGTCCTGTTTTTTCGCTTTGAAGACCTCTCACTAATTTCCTTTGTGACATGAGGTCTTTGGACACAGTTCTAAGCACGCAGTTTCGGATGGTGGTGGGATTATTCGCCAGCACGGCGAACTTGGACGAAGCTGCAGCTCTACAAGTACTGTCAACTAAGTAAGTGACAGACAACTTTAAACTACAGAGTGTAAAACGACTGACATTTCTCACTCGCAGGCGAATTTATAGGGTTTTGTGATTCAGCTTCAAGGAAATACTCTTGAAATGCTTATTTTCTTCCGTATTTCTCCACACTCCCTCTGTATCTCAAAGTGTACAGAGCTGTAAAAATGAAGAAACAAATACAACGGAACATGCCTTTGAGAGTTGAAAGTAAAGCGCATGCCTCGAAAATCCTGCATTCCCATCGAAATCCATTTTAATTACTCTCCAGTAGCAACTTTTTGACCCGACTTGGGTAAAATGACACCAGCTGTCAGTCATTTTTCCCGCTATTTCAACTGCTGCTAAAAGGCATTCCTGAAAAAGGCATGAAGATAATCGCACGCCTTCCTTACTGCACAAGCACAACCATTTGGTGTCGCATTTATTTACAACTGACTGGCAGTTGTCACTTGCCATACGCTTAAGGTGTCGAAATTAGACTAGAAAAGTGGGGCATCAGGCGTCGGTGGCATTGGCAACGAGGGTGTTAGGGGCACTACTGAGCATTACCGCACTGGAATGTCCTGACACATGCTCCGCAAGCCAGGCAACGCAGCAGATCTGACGCCTATCACAATGTTTGCGCTGAGAGACCAAAACGGATGCTGATAGGCACTCATTCAAGTGGTCAAGCTCAGCACCAAGTGTTGTGCGCACACAACCAATCGCCTCCAGCATTTGCCAGTTCAAATTATTAAAATGCAGCCATTTTCGCGCCCAAAATTTCTTACTGCGCTAGCCAAAGAAATTCGATTTCGAGAATTCGTTGCAGATAATAAAAGGCGTTTTGGAATTTCGTGTTTTTGCTAATCATATTTCGAACACCAAGACAGTGGGTAGGTGGAATCAGGGCTCAGAAAAGCATGTGCGCATTTGACTTCGGTTCGTGATGCATCTGTGACAGCAAATGCAAGCCAGAGACAGAAATCGGCGTCACAGGAAGCTGAATACTAACTTAACCATTCAAAAACCTGCATAATTTTTAGTACTCTAGGAAAAGAAAAATTGTTTTCTGGCAAAACTCATCACCGTCAAGGGACAACGTCTCATAAGTCATTTGAAACTATTTTCGCATTTTGAAAGCTAAATTGCATTCTTGCGCATACCATTAAAAAATGCAAGACGTATCCCCATCCTCAGTTTCACCGGAGTATTTAGCCATTTGAATTCCCTTGTCATGCTGGTGACACGAGGAAAATGCTATTTGGCTCTGGCCTACTTTAGGGAGGGTTGAAATATTCCCATCGCTAACCCCACATCACCACCGTTATTTTACAACCATCGTTCGGTTTAATCTATTTCATTTATGCTAAAAGTGACTAGGCATTCATTTATCATAAAATTCGAAACAGACTACTCGCAGACAATGCTAATTCGCCATCGTAAAAAGATTTTTTAATTATGAGTACAAAAGGGTTCATTTTTCTTGGGACGAAGCCATGGCTATGAAATCTCTAAATTCATTTCCCTTCCTCTTCAAATTCATCATAAGCACATAAAATCTAATTACCGTGCCTTTTCCATCGCCAAAGCTGTCTGTAATACGTTATTTGCTTGTTCAACCCTCGTTTTTAGCAAAGGGGCCACCTAGGTGCTCCACTATTGTGACTTCGTCGGGTGGGCTGGCTTCCGGGCCATGCCAGTAGCCCCAGGGCCTACTGCCCGAGTATTTTGTCCTCTTTCATCTCCAAGGAAGTGTTGAGATACTACATGCTATCCACAATATTTTTTTTATGTTGCATGATGACCAAATGTCATCGAATCTTTCGAACTTCAATTCACAATCGTCTGGAGAGGGATGAGAATATGACATACTCAGGCATTCATCGGCTCCAGCCAATGATGACACCAGTTATTCAATTGGATGTGAATATTCACTCAGTGGACTACCTACGTGTTCCTTCTCAGGCAGTCTACACGATTTTGAGGTGGAAAGTCAAAGATGATCATGACTTCGTTAGTCTTAGCTAAACACCTTGAACCAGCGGTACTGATAGGACCAAAAACGGTCAGGTCAAGGACACATCGATGTCTGCTAATAAGAACGTCTGTTTATAGATGGCTTCAAAATTTCCTTACTAGGTTCCATTCCAAAGGAACATAGACCACCGCATCCCAGGTTAGTTTCATTCATTGTAATGACACAAGCTGGGTTTGTATTTTTTAGCCAATTTGACTCACACCTACCCTACTATTGTCAACTCAACCGACCCATTTTTGAAGCCATTCATTGCAATGAGTTGCCAAGGTCTAAAGAGGAATGCATGCCACACTCTCGTGTCATGGGACTTGGTTAGGCAGAGTGGGATGTGCCACATACGTAGTGAAGACTCCTCCAACAAATTTTCTGGTTATCGTTAAAAAGACGTGGTTATTATTTGTAGGTGCTTCGGATTTTGTAAAGGACTTTCACAAGGCTGTACGCATCACCGAATTAGGACTAGTTTTCTTTGCCCAACAAACCCGTTTTCGACTTTTAAATACACATAAAATACTTATTATAAGTCCGCATAACCTCCAAGTTGGCTGGAGTGAAGCGCGATATGTGAGGTGCGTAATTCCGTCGTCCCCGATTAATTTCACGGAGAGAAGCGCACACACCTTGGAGGTGCACCAGAAGCGAGGTGAAAGCAAACGAAGAAGGAGGGTAATAAAATCCCACATTTGCGTTTCTCCTCAGATATGATGGGAATGTTTATTATTATTACCCGCACTCCTCCCCACCACCACCATTCCCTCACCCTCGCTTGCTCGCTCCGTTTGTACATGCGAGGAAGTTTAATGGGACCTAATTGCTAACTGCTTAAGCTGCTCCATAATCTGGTGGGGTCATTAAACTGCATGGAAGTATGGCAAAACAAAGTTAAAGTATCATACTGATTCTGCTATAAATACTTGACAAATGTTGTTTCAAAACTATTTTAGACCATCGTCTGTAGAAGCATCATTAGATTTTGCCTGTGCTCGTAAAGTGGTTAAAAAATTGCGCAACTTCTTGAATTTGCAGAGTAGCCGTAATATTTGAAGCTGTAGATTAATTTCTTCTTTGGATTAATAATTAATGGAATTTCCATGAACATTCGCTACCAGCGTCACGTATATGTGACACGTATCCCTCATTAATTTATGTGATAGGAAGCGCCAACACACGTCTTAGCCAGGTTTAGTGTGCTTAAATATTCGGGAGGGGGTAAACTTTTCTTAGTCTGAGACCAATTCCACCCTACTAGTTATTGGACTCTACAACCTTGAACCGAAAATATCTGCTGTGGATAGTGGCGGGAGGAATTCCTTAGATATCTTCATAGCGAAAGTGGTAAACTTTAGTACCGAGCACTGTGAAAGTGGATTTCGTTATCTGAGTCTTGATTGTGTAGCTTAATTCGTCAACTTGACGAGGTAACCGAGTAAGTAGAATGCATTGGTCTATTATTGTTTTCCATTCCTACGAAGTTTAAAAAGGACAGTTTATTCCGCGGTTTGCACAACAAACGGGCAAACATTTAACAGTTTTCATTTTTGCTTTCTTTCTTTGGTCTCACTCCAACCTATTATGGACGGTATTGGTAAATTTTGGAAATAAATTTGCGCTTTTCAAATACTTCACTAAATATGTTATTTGATGAAGCCATGAGAACAACCTTATTCCATACATCTGCCTGTCTACCTCACCCTTACCTTCTCATTGACATTCCACTCCGTTTCGCGTGTGATCGTATGATTTTCGAGTGCCAGTGCCAAGAAACGGTAATAACATTCCTCAAATAAAGAAGTACCAACTTGAAGAAGAATCATAAGAGAAATCTGGAGGATAAGAATGGCAATGAGAAGCAGTCGGTCTCTCCCTCTCACCCTCTTGCCTTCCATTCTGGGTGCAACTCCTCTCACGCATCAGGTTGACGGCATGCAACTTAAAGTATTACACTGAAAAGTCAAGTCACGTCATGTCATGGCCTGTTTCGGCTGAGGAGGAGGAAACCCCTCCATTCACCGATTCGCCACCCCTATCGTAATCGCGGTAGGTGAATAATTGATGGAGAGCAATCACCTCCGCAGTGCACCACACACGCACACACACCCATAAAGGAAGCGAGGCACTGCGAACATGAAGTGGTGTGGACCCCGGATGTGAGGTGTGGCAAGTAAGGTGGTGAGTGAGTGAGTGAGTGAGTGAATGAGTGAATTGTTGCGGGATTGTGAGGCAATCAGTGATATGCCCTTTGGCTCACTCAACACCACAATACAAAGACCAAACCTCCTCACTAATCAGTCAGTCAGTCAGTCATTTAGTTGATTGGTCAGTCAGTGAGTCAGTGAGTCAGTAGGTCAACCACTTGCCTGGTCAACAAACAACACTATCAACGGGGAGGGGGTTGTACAAGGTGGATTGAAGAAATGAAGTGGTGGAGAGGTGAAGTGAAGTGGAGGCCAAATTGGAAGTAAGTGCACCTTATCGTTGGTCAGTCATGAATGCATGGAAGCAAAACCCACCACCTGCAATCCATCATCCTCCATTGCCCTCAACATCACCATCACCATCATCACCCTTCCATCACCACCTTGCCTCCCCCACTCACTGTAAGTGTAAGAGAGCTGTTCCACCAATGTGAGTGTTGAGCTTTACTGCACGGTGACATTGACGCCTCAACCTCACCTCGAATGCACTCAGCCAACGGCGAGAGGTGAGAGGTAGCAGGTGGTAGGTGGTGGATGACGGGTGCCGCCTCGAGGTGGAGAATGAAGGCTCGTCTCGAAGGCCACGCACCCTCGAACAGTCTATGAGTAGAATCAACTCGTTGCAGATAATTAGTGGGTAGTGTAGTCTGCTGCCCTTCCTTCCCCAAATGTCATCTCTCAACGACATGTAACAACCTTGACGAGAAGCTAAATCAAAGCGGACACGAATAGTAGCTAGCGCTAGCGCAAGAGCTCATTTCCATCCATTTATTTTACCAGTGGCTGTCTGCTATGGTATGATACAAGTGGGATTTAGATTTTAGGGTTGGCTCAAAATGAGAGGAAACCAGGGCGGCTGCGTGCACAATTGCTGAACTGAGTGACCAGGTCATATTCCAGAACGCTTTATAGGTCATGCTTATAAACAATCGCATGCGGTTTACAGGTACTTTCCAGTATACAACAAATTGTGTTGAAAAATATGTAAACGTTTTGGTCGCCTAACACATAGACTATTTCCTTTTTCTTCTAAATCGGCACAGAGACACATTCATGAATCGCTATTATTTTTGTTATGCCTAACTACTGCACTTAATCAAGCAAAACACCATCCAGTAAATGATTTAGTCCTACTCTAAAATAAAATGTCCTTCTGGTTGTCAGATTACCGCAACTTTAGTAATTTCTCCACCTTCACCCTGTCAGGAGGTCCAGTAGATACTCTCCGAAACATTTGTTGTTTGGTCTTTTTGTAGTGTGAATTTACCATTCAAAAAACTATTTCTTCTTGCTTTGTAAGTTTATTTTTGTCATGAAAGTTGAAATGAAATAATTACCCACTCACTCATTTTCAAGAGGTAACTTAAAAGCGCTTAACCGACACTCCCATTTTAACTTGCTGCTCGATGAAAAAAGAGTAGGGCTACTGGTTTTAAAGCACCTTACCATTACAGAGATTAGCTACGAGACAATACCTTTAAACGGTCATAAAAGTTGAGGCTTAGCCCTCTGTGTCTTCCCTGGAAGTGTAATAAGCCACTACGGTAAGGGAGGAGTTTGGTCACCAGCCTACGGGGTGGCCGGACGGTCATCTGCATAGCCGGGTCTGCATTCAGCAAGCGGAACCGCAGCCTGTGGAGAATAAAAGGCTCACACGATGATTTGTACGAGCAGAACAAATAGCACTCTCTTTCTGGAGGACAAACACTCTATCGTTCCCAAAAATCTTTATTTTTGAACTGATACTTCTAAGGGATCACAGTTTTTAGGGCCCATGCGCCTGTTTACTTCAGACACTTTCTTGACTGGCAGTGTAAATAAAATTGCACTTTAAAAATACACAGGGTCTAACACTTATACTACCATTAGGTTTTATTTTTGTTTGCAGAAAATGGAAGATGATTTTGTGTTTCGGCATTCCACTTTACGAGATGTGCACCTTTAAAACGCTCCTGGCCCATGTGCTGCAGAAGTACCCTTTACCCTTTTCTTCCCATTAAAACTTTCATTATTTTTATGCCCTTCTTTAATGCAGATTTGTTTGAATGGCACACATGGGCTAGAGCCCGTATGGCATTATTTAACTGCTCCTCTAATCACAGGTTGCAATCTTATCGCGCCCCTATTGTCACCGCACCCGTAAAATTGAGGGTCTCAACGGAGGCTTTTGTGCTCTGAATCGGCATTTACAGTCACTCAAAAAAGTTTTAAAATGGCCCCCCGTAAAATAAGAAAAGTACGGCTTGAGGGAACTAAAAAATTACTTTTTGTGCGAGCATAAAAGTGCATACAAAAAGTTACCTTTACGTCCACTCTGATGCAGTGTTCACTGCAGAGAACCTTGAAGTCAAATTTTGATGTCTCACTTTAGTTTATACGAGCATGTAGCTCGAAGATTCAGGGAAAGGTTATTGCATAATAAAGTGTAAACACGCATAAGGCGGACTGATTGAGAAAGATTGTCACATTCTGACTTTGCCTTTAAGACAGCCAGTGGGGTAAAGCGTTCATTATGATGTAGTTCTTTCGCCCCATCATCAATAAAACTATTTTTTTAAGGTTGTAGGACTTCTCGTGGTCGATACCAGGGCCACGATTCGCACTATTAATGCCGCCGGACATGTTGGTACAGTCACCGGACGATACGTAGACGCACTTGATTTGGACGGAAAACAAATTTACTCGAACCTGACACCAACACGAAGGACGCATCTCTTAACAATAAATTAGTGAATTGTAATTTTTCCACAAGTCGAGTTTATCAATTGGAATAAAGTAAACTGCCTTAAATCTGTATTGGATGCATAAACATTTGTGGTTTTGAGTGTCGCCTCACTAGATATGTCCAAGTGGAGTGAAATGCCTAATCATGGCATATCTCTGCCGGTTCCAGCCGACGAGCAGACAACAGACTTCAGAAGAATTCTTTTAATCCGCCACTCTCTTTGAATTACTGAAAGTTTTCCTTGTGGTACTTGATAAAGAAGCTCCCTCAAAAGAAGAGGAGATGACCAAAATGCGTATTTACATCATTAACTTCAGAGGTAAGGCGCCCTGTGTCCTGCAGTCTCTCTACGCCTAGACCATTGGGCTATTTTCCATAAGTTTACCTTAAAAAAATTAAGTGAATGCACTTCCTTTTTTTAGTGGGATATTCAAACGTTGTTAGGTTTGTTGATGTCAGTGTGGATTTAGTTGAGGCTAGAAAATGCAGTTGCTTATCTTGGGTGAAAGTGCGGGGGGTTCAATGGGGGCGTACAGGCAGAGGATGTGTTTCGGCATCGAACCGGTAAAAGAATATCCATTCATTACATGTGAATTAGTAATTTCCTAAATTCCAAATCATTTTATCATTTGATATGCCTTCAGTCACATATGCATATTTTAGTCAAATAAGTTCGTATTAATTTTAAGGTAAAGTAAATGATAAACTATAGAAAGGCATCTCAAGTTGTTTGGTCTTGGAAACAATCACCATTACAACCACTAAAAGGGATATAATCCGACCACCTCTGCCCGCCTGTTCACCCTACCTTTATTTGGAGGTTAAAGGCTCGTCTTGAATTACATTTGCACCTGAACATGTCGTTTGCGGAAACAGCTATCTTCAGACAACTAGTGGGCGGTGTGCTCTGCTGTCCCACCACAATGACATACAACAATTTTTACAAGAAGCTGAACTACGTCCATTGGGTTCAACTAAAGCTCTATAATATGGTGTGATTTGAGGAGGTTTGAGGTTGGAGGGTTGGCTCAAACTGTAAGGTACGTAGGGGAAATACATCACATGTTACCGTCGCGATAGGCCCTGCCATGCATATAGACAATCGCATGGGGTCCATAGGTACTTACCAGTGTATAAAGCGGTTACGCGGAATTGTGCTGAAAAAAGTGCGGCCATGTGGATCAACCCGCAAATTCTCTTCCATCTTTTCGTCTATAAAAAATAATCTCGGACTGACAAACAGTTGTAACGAATCACATTGGGATTGGCTTGCTAGCGCCATCGAAAACTGGCCAAGCAATTTAATTAAATCGGTTACCACGATGCCTATCAACTTGTTTATCACCACTTGTGTTGACGCCCTATTGTCGACTCTTTAGCTTAACATCATCCTCCTAAAATCGACTCTCTTTTTAGGCAAATCGGTGCAAGAACTGCCCATTCCCACCATCCCTATACCAAGTAAGCAGTCTTGAGTTTCTCTTAGTCCTTTGCCCTTTGTGAAAGTGATTTTGATCAAAAAGGCAGACGCAGAGGACAGCTGCATGCTAGTTGTAGAAGTATTTTCTTTCTTAGGGGTAGACACCGGAAAAGGCAGACTTCTTCAAATAAGTAGACCACCCGGACGGTATACATAAACTCCATGCCAAAGTAACTTAACGAGATAATATCAAAGTGTTTTTATTCAGTCACTCAACCTGTTTGACCTCATAACTACGCCCCTCTCAACTATGGACTGACACTTGCCTACGAGAGGGGAAAGAAGAAACACGGTAAAGCATACCCAGCCTCTCTTTGTTTGCCTGTTTTTAAAGGTCAGTAAATGCAACTGATTGCAGCCAGTTCCACTCTCCGGGACAGGCGGAAATCTTCCAGTCGACAACCTCGTGACCAATACTTTGTTCCTTAACTAATAAATCTGTTATTTAATTCAGATTCATGGTTTTTTTTAATTTTAGCGGTTTTCTTTAATGAAACGTTGTTTACCCAGCTTAAGGTCTAGGCAAGTCTCGAGCGTTAGGCGGTGACAGGTTTCGTGCACTGAATCTGCCTGCAAAATTTATGCACAAATAAAACAAATTACGCAGTTTTTACAGCTTTTCACTGATGTTTTAGGTATCTTTCGGTAAAAATCTAGCAAATTGTATGGAACTCCTGCTTTATTCTATCAGACGAACAGGCTGGAGGATTATTTCAGACGTCTTTGCAGATTTTTACGAAATAGCTACGGCTCCTTTAGATTATTTTTTTACCGTAGACAGACCGCAAATCTCATTGATCTTAGCAAAATGCATTCAAAGTTGTATATAAACCACCAAATGGTGTCAAGGAAGGATAGTGAACCCCCACTAGTTGATGTTTTGCAACTACTTAATTGCTATTGGTCATTTCCACTCAGCCAATCATGAGCTATGGTAGTAATGAGGTCGCTATACTAAGCTTCAACAGTCTTTGCAATTTTCGCGGCACGTGGAATGACCACTGTAGTGAAATGAAGACTTTGACCACCCAGCGCATTACGGAAATGAACAACACGCCCAGCAATAGCGCCATTTTTAGTGATGTCGAGGTATTCCATGCTATCGCTGTAATGGTCGCGGTCATAGTGATCGGGAGCATCGGGAATACTCTTGTGATCTCAGTGCTTTGTCTTAAGAACTTCTCCGTCAATAGCCGGTGGAATCAGTACAGACGGCGGAACCAGTCCAATATCCCCGAGAACAGCGAAACAGGTGCTTTCGATCGAGACAAAACTCTAGACTTTTTCATCCTCGTTTTGGCTGTCTCTGATCTCCTGGTCTGTGTCGTCATCATCCCATCAACCATCACTATGGAGATCCACCAGTTTCGTATCAGTGTCGATGTTCTCTGCAAGCTCTTCTACGTCCTTTTTGTCACCAACACCACCTTCTCCTCCCTGCTCATCTCCGCAGTGGCGCTCGATCGGTATCTCTTTATATGCCACTCGCTAAAACACATTCTCACTCTGATTCGAGCAAAGATTCTTGTTTCCACCCTGGCCCTATTCTCTCTCTGTGTGGGTATTGCTGCGGGCTGTGTGGTGGGTGTCAAGGCTATACATCATAATGCAACAGAGGACAATGTTACAACCAATTACATCTGCGAGGAGAATGAGTACGTTCGAGGGATTAGTGAGCTTCAAAAGACTGTTTCGCAAATAATTAAGTACCTCAACCACGCTTGTTATCTGGCCTGCATTCTCATTGTTCTCATTCTCTACTCTTGTGTCTTCTGGGCTATTGTTACCTCAAGATCTCGTAGTCAAAAACTCACCGTGTCCTCCCAGACAAGCCGACAAAATGGCCGCAATTCCAGCCTCCAGGGGAAGTCCACTGCCAATTCGAGAATGTCTCGACAACGGATAGCCAATCTACCGGCTAAGTTGCGGCAGAAGGCCCAATTCACCCTACAGAATCTCCGCTCCGCACTCATGCTTTTCATCATTGCTCTCGTCTACATTCTTACATTCGTCCCATCTCTGGTGATTGCAAACGGTTGGGCTCCACAAAATTTAGTGCTTCTCTATCTCTACTATGTAAACAGTGCTGCCAATCCCTGCATCTACGCCATCTTTACACCCTCCTTCCGTCAGATAGTAGCCGTGCTCTTCCGCAACTGTTTCTGCAAGGGTCGAAGCACACAGCCTCCCATCAGTGGGAGAAACTCAAAACGCTCGGATCCCGTTGCCACCATTAATGCCGGTATCTCCCACACCAACAGTCGGGCCTTCAGCCGGATGGGCAGGAAGAAACGGCCGATTGAGGAGGCCTATCCCTTTATTTCGAGGGAGGAGAGAATGGCTGCCGCTGCCGCTGCCGCCGCCGCCGCAGCAGCGGCGACTGCAACACCCACGGTGTCGAATAACGAGTCCAATATGGATGCAAGTGATTTCTGACTATCCAAGTTACTGTATGTAATATTTTTGTATGAAAGGGACGCTTCCATAGCTGCATATCCTTATTCCCGTTCAGCAAGTGTGTATGTATGTCAGCCAGATTTAAGGACGGCGCGGTGCAAAGTACAAAACCTAACGTGGTGGTTTATTACCGCCGTGAGGTAAAGTATGTGTAAGTAAGTTTACTAATAGGCCAGTGCTCTGGATGTGATTGGAGCTAGTGAGACCACACATTTTTAATCCTTTTTGGGTCGCGTAACTTCACAATCCCTCTGATTAAAGTCATGATTGTTGCGGTAAATTCATACATAGATTAGCTGCTTTTTCCTTAGTATGCTCACCCACAGGGAACTTGAATGCAAGTTGGATGTCTACTTTTACTGGAAATCTGCAGGATGCATCAATGACCTTCAGGCGTCCTGTTGTAGGCTAATTAAAGGAAACGACGAGTGTGGCTTTGTTGCGAGACGAATGTAGGCAGCCATTGAGGGTATTTGTTAGTAAGTCGCTAATCCGTCTGCATACCTACTGATCCAATTTCCAGTGGCAAAAAGCTTAGTGTTTACAACCCAAATCTGCCCTGAAATGACCCCTCGATTTTGCATTTTCTTCTGCAAAAGCATGTATTGATCCAATGATGGAGGTCCCGTCCATTAATGATTAAATCCCTTCTCAAAAATGGGAACTGGATTTGGAAGCAATGTCTTCAGGCAATGATTACATGTTAAACAGCTTCATAGTTTTCACACTCCTCTCTGCTAACATGAAACGAAGTTCCGTCATACATAGCTTCACACCATACGAAATTCCATGTCTTCAATTTCTGCCAGTCGGCATTGACCATCCATTATGGGAACACTATCCACCATGGCCCTAGTTTAATGGATTGTGTACACTAAGCTGTCTGACAAACTGGGTATCAGTTGATCCACATCTTGAGGTAGGCAATGGATTCTTCCATCCAAAATGAGCAGTTAGTTTTCCTCTGTCCCAATATGCAATGTCGCCAGTTAGTTCCTGTTTCAGAACGAAAGGTAGTCGGTCGTTCTGCCATGAATACGTAGTAAACTCTCTTTTGGTCACTCAATTCTGTGTATTCCTCTTGTCCAAGCGCAAGGAGCCAATCATCTACTTTTAACGGTATTTTGGGGTAAAATTACATTTCAGCGAATGTGTACTCAAAATGAATACGGTTGCGCATGCAAAAAACCCAAATTCTTTTGCCTAGAAGAGAAAGGCCGTGCCGAAGAGATTGAATATGTGAATGATGGAAGTTTTTTCCAAATACTGACTTCCGTCCAATGTACCCCGAGTACCATCATCTCAGGCTTTTTCAAGGGAGCTAATGCAATATTTAGCATACCCATAAGGAAGAAATTGATGTTTCTGAGTTCTTCGTAGTTTCCAATGATCTCCACTCTTTCCTTCTTCCGGTTCTTCTCTGTGGATAATTCAATGTCGAAAGAAAAAATTCCAACCTTTTAGTCACTGTCGATCGAGGAGGTAGAACACACACCTTTAGGACATCTTTTAATGCTCTTACCAATGGAGGAGCCGATTTCATTTCATTTAGCCTTTTTCTCAATCTCCGTCAAAGCAGACCGGTAGGGGCGTGATGCCTTTTTCTAGGAAGTTCTACTTCCAGCAAAGGAGAGTGATACCGGATTCCACCGAATGTGAGTTAACAGCACTATAAACTTAACAGCAACTATCCAATACTTTGAATAGTTCTCCCGCGGAAGTGAACCAAGTAGAAACAAAAAAACTGCTGTTTAATTAAACAGCCATGCCTGCGGGAGAGTATTTTATTAGGTTAGTTCTGATTTGAGGTTCTCGTGGGCGTCTAACAAACCTCAGAGTGTGACATGAAGCGTTGCAATGCAAACTTTAATATACCTGAAAATAAATTGCAGCTGCGATTCATGAAAAGGTATTTAAATTCTGATGCGATTAGTTTTCCGAGGTTTGAAGAACATATTCTCTTAAACAAATGATGCGTAGAACCTTAATAGATCCTACCATGTTAATTGCTTATTTTTATTTTCGCAGAAAAAAATGGAAGTATTTTGTCAAAAATGACATTGCCAAATAAAGTGACACCTAACTTTTCCCAACTCTTAGGGTTTTTGCGTTCGGCCAGGCTAATTAAAGTATGCATTGCAAGTTCTTCACTGCTTTCTAGCTGAGGCCAACTGGACACCCTCCATTCCCCAAGAAAGAACTGACAAAAAGAGATCCCTACACACACACACATACAGGCATTCATTAACTGCGTTTTTGCTTGGTATTGTGGCCTTCTTCGGAGTTGAACAGAATATGGGACCATCATGCAACAAGGCCTCTCGTCCCGAGCCATTTACACTAAGGGTATGAGCAGTCCGTGTGGGCAAATGTGGCAACGGTTGAGGATATCTTCGTTTACACCATCGGGGGCTATTCGGGGTCCAATCCAGCCCAAAGCTGGCCTGATGTTGAGTTTCTAAGGGCACGTCCAATAGGATGATGCACGTATCTGCCTTTTGGGTTGGCATGTCATGCATAAAATGTATGGGAGGGGAGGAAAAGGGGAAAATACTCTTTAGGGTAAATACACTAACTTTTATAAAATTTGTGGCACCACAAATCGAATTCTTTGTCTGTTCCCTAAATTATCACCCCCACACAGTGTAAGGTGTTACGAAATTACTGCACCCCGTGGAAGGTCGACGATTGTCTCAGTAAGACGTGTCAGTGATACGTGAATGACAGGAGCGTAATTCGATCGTGGGTTTGCAAGATCGTAAGGCGTACACGCAACGTCACAACATAATTCGTCATTTCAAATGCGTCTAAGTGATGGCTCGGGAGGCAACACCCGCCCAAAGCAAAACTAACAGAGCAAGACACCTTTACTACTTACATAAGGTTGAAGTCAGATGCCTGCGGTGCCAAATTTTACTTCTAGCTAAGTGTTACCTTCACTGAATTGCGTTGAGAGTTCTTGTGGGGCTTAGCAACAACGCAAATAAACACGTACTTCTGGCAGATCACTGGGTTCGTGGGCATGCACTGAATTAAGCACTCTTTCTAAGGATGCATAAGTCCTAATGCGTGGCCTTATGGCACAGCACAATTCTGATTACCATACAGTTAAATGCATGCACCAGCACACTCATGACCCAATGCGGTTGTGAACAGTTGTGCGCCTCAATGACGGTCCGTCCTTTGCACAACAAAAGCAAAGGAAAGGGAAAGGAAGGTGGGTTTTTACATTATGCTGCACCCTGTTTGTGGATTTCTTCCCCTCACTTTGAGCGAATCTTAGTCAATGTTTTGAAGGAGTGGTGACATCGCCGTGTTGCCAGTTGACCTTCGACTCCGTTGAAATGGGTGTCACTGATTCGTGTTGTGTCACAACTAAAGAAAGCTTCAGATTGCTAAACATTAAGCAACTTTTAAACGTAAAGAGGTAGGCAAGTTTAATTAAAGTATTTTCTTTCCACTATTTTTGTGGTATTGGTGAATGAAGGTGGCAAATTAGTCAAGCCCAAAAAAACAAATGAAATGAAGCTTCTTACACATAAGCAATGGTCTTTTGGAAATTCGTACGGCGAGTTCGCCAAATTCGTTCAGTTGGGATGGGTTTAATAGAAAGTGGGATGGGAACTTGCGTAAAAGTTACTTTTTATCACACCGTGCGCTGGCAGTGCTTTGAGAAGAAAGACGAGTTTCTGCACTCCTCCTTTAACACTACCCATTATTTGGTGTGGAAGGACCTCAAAGGGCCGCATCCTTGGTGCACTTCACTGAGCCAAGCTATAAATCAGTTGGTCGGTCCAGCCTTCATTTCTCAAAGGGAATTATTCAGCCCACCACGTCCAAAAATAGTTACTTCGTGACACTGCCCTATTTCACTCCCTATGGTCTTGTGAAAAAAAAGGGAACCTTAATTAAACCAGGAGAACTGGATAACTTTGCGGTTGAATGCACAACCCTTAGTCTCAGCAAGTGGGTAATTATACCGTTGTCTCGAAGAGCAGTTGGCTTTCTTTTTTAAAGTTGCCTTCTGAGATATTTCCGTAAAACCTGGAACTCAGAATAGGCTCAAGTATGTACACGGAGGAACAGACGAGCTGTTCATTAGTCCCCTTCATTATCAGCATCTCTCCAACAAACACAAACTTTGACCAGCTAGGTCAAGATAGATTATTCCCCTCAAAACAATTAGCCCTTCCATTTAGAAGGAAACCCCCTAGACTCATCTTGAGAGGTTGGAAAATTCGGTTAATTTTGAGCATAGTCGGAGCTCTCGATGCTGTTTAATGGTGCTAAGATTAAGGTAGCTTTAAAATCTATTTTAACTGGAAGGTAAGGAGACGCAGATCAAATATGCCCTCTGAAACAGCGAAGCAAATCGGAGATGTTGCTTGTGAATTACCTGTGAATGGTGTAGTACAAAAGCCCGCATTGCCTTATTGAGACACCCAAAATCAGCACCGATTTTGGATTTATACCCTGTTAGACAGTAATTTGAAATGAAAAATAAAAGACTTTTTTAGAATCTGCAAAATAAGTCTAATTTCGCCCTCAGCACTGAATCTCAGTGATTAACGAAGAGGGGTTTTAGGTCAGATCACGGCCATCCGCTCTGATCTGATCTACTCCAGTGTGCACTAATTAGCAGGTACCGGCTTTGAGGGACCGGAGACACTGGCAACACTCCTCCCCTATCGTAATTGCCAGAAGGGGCGCTTGCGTAGTCACAAATTTTTAGCGGTTCCTTTTTGAGATAGGCATTGTTTACTGTCGCTATCTGACGGTGAAATATTTTATTGAACACTCGTTTTGACCACTTTAAAAAGTATTTTTTGTTTTAAGTTTTTGTGGACGTAGGAAATCCTAATTTTATAGAATTTGACATCTCGCACACTTTCTCTTTACCTAATTTTCAAATACATCCTGCTGTTTAGCAACATTATCCTTATTCACGACAGAATGGAGGAGACTGTACTTTTCCAGTGGGAAATATAATCAGTCAGACAGGAAATAAAAATGATTATTTGCTTGGCATTAGGCTAGTAAGAATAGAGCAGCAATTTTTCCATTGGTGCATTTGCCGACATCTTTAGAGATGGGTGTTGTTAGTAAGTTAAAGCAAATTTTAAGCCATTCCCCATCTCCGGTGGCTAGAATTTTAGTCAAGCAAAATAAAAATTGACATAGTATGCTACATTTTGCAGCTTCGATGCGGTTTTAAAAAGTATTGCGTGACAGCCTCCAATCTCGCTGAGCCTCATCAGCACGGTGTCTACCAAATTTTGAATTCTCCAACTCCACTCCAAAACGCTGCAGCGTATTGACTGCTAAAATACAAGTATCCCCAATGTCGAGGCTGTGCGTTAGATTTCGAGCATTCGGAGTTGTAAAGCATGATTAATAACTTGAAAAGGCAAATGCAATTCTGCAGTTTTGCAAGCAAAGTTCAAAGCGATCCTCCGAGTGTGGATTCCCCCTATTCATCATCATTATCCTGCTCTGTGTAGAGAGGTGCTTCAACCACTCCCCGGGTTGATCCATTAGGGAAATTAGGCTTTGACTGAGAAACTTAACTCCTTCTGAGTTTACTACAGTCCATAAAGGAGTACAAACACTCTGTCGCATTACTTTTACGAAATCGGCAGCGAGGTTTGGTGGAGGATCCAAGCAGGCGAGAAAATCTGCAATCCAACTACAATGCTATTGTTTCTGCTAAAAAAGACTTGCCGTTGAATTCTGTAGCCGAAATAGAAGAGAAGAAGTAAATAACACTGCCAGACTCGCATTGGAGTGCAATTACTGGCGTTTCCGAGGTGGTACATATGAAGTTTAGTCTTGTTACCTTGCAGAGTAGCTTTCTGCAGCACCTTTTTTGAAAATACACCATCGAAAGGAAAATAGTTTGAGCCTTGAAATTACTTTATCACTTGCTAAGCAACTATATACAAGCTTTGTATAAAAACATGAAAAACTGCCGAAGTTTCCCTCGAATGGTTTCGTCATGAAGACAGTCGACATTACATCCTGGGACTCGCACAAGGCCCTGTCCCCAAAATCCAAGAGAGTAGACCAATTTCTCCATTATAACCTTTATTTCTTCACCAACGTTCAAGTTCGTTTAGCATGTAATGGTATGATAGTCGAGTGTCTATGCCAAGAAAGGTTGATGGCAATCATCACTTGAAGAAGTACCATCTTGGAGAAGACTCATCAGGGGGATATAGAAGACGAGAATGTCAACGAGGAGTAGTCCGAATCTTCCTGTCACCCTCTCGCCTTCCATCCATGAGTATGAACCTACTCATGGATGGGTTTTGCAACATGCATTGTGAAGGTTTATATTAATGTCTCGTCACTTCACGTCATGTCGTGTTGTGCCACGCCTTACCTATCCTGTCTTAACAGAGCAGGAAGAAGACTGTTTTTCTTATGATTCTCTAGTTTTATCATAATATGAGTAAATGAATCATTTATTAAGAGGAAAGCCTCTGCAGTGCACTACACACAACCATAAAGTAAGTCTGGTGTTGTAGACATGATATGGTGTGGGCGTGAGGTGCGGAAAATGGAGCGGTGAGTGAATGAGTGAGCAAAATTGTTGTGAGGGTTGGCTCAAAGCGCGAGGGGTGTCGGGGGAGGGAAGTACATGAAAGATCACCGCAGCGATACGCTGGGTCATATCTACCAATGTAATCATTTGCATGCAATTTACAAGTCCTCAAACAAGTGAAGGGAGGGAAATATGCGCTGATCCTCAGGTAGCAAGTGTTCCAAAATACTTGGAAGTAGGATAGAAACGGACAAACCTGACTAACGGGCATTAAGGCTCAGCGCAAAGTAAGCGGAGAACAGTGCCTATTACATGAAATCCATTTATCTTAGTAAATAGTATCGAAAAAGCTTTCAAGTCTTAGCAGTTTAGCTTTTTCCCAAAAATCAAATAATTCGGTCATTAGTTTTAAACCATAAAAAGTCCATCGTCTGCACTGCCTCTCGCTTACGAATCGGAAAGGGCGAAGAAAGGCAGAAACCTTAGTTTACTTTGGGTACGTTTCTAAAAAAGTTTATTTCCTCAATCTCCTGAATTTTTTGGCAGGAATAAAAAAAACAATCGTACCTCCTTACCAGTCCAATTTTTTTCCACAAGCAAAGGCAAACTAATTTACCGATTCGTTTTTCCGCACCACCTTTTAATGGGTTGTGCTTCTGCTGTTTAAACTTCACAGAGTACTTAAACGGATCGAGTACTTTAAACCCACCCTCTGATTTTCCACTAAATTGTATAAGACTGTTCCCTCCACTTAGGGCAACCATGCAAGGTAACATAGAGAGAAGGGCGGGATGGCCGTATAACGGAGTGAAAACATAAGGCCACGGTTGTTGAAAGCATTTAACCGGTAAGTGGAGGATGTGACCTTGCGTAGATGGTGGCTTCCTATGACCGGAACGTTACAAGAATATGACAAAATTCATCCATGTCTGCGGAACGCATGGGAGAAATATGGTTGCATGTATTTCGCCTTTTCATGTATCACGTGATGTCAGGCGGTGACGCCAACATTTTATCTTATTCAGCGGCTTTTTACAGCATTCCCTTCAAGTAACAGGGAGAACCGACCGTACTTGCGCCTAACTTAGTGATGTATGCTTGTGAAACAGAGACGCCCATGTAATTGGCATAACAGTTCAACTGTCGTTTAAATACAAAAGAATTGAAGCTCAGCGACCAAAGCACGAGACTGTACTCCACGCCATGACAGACGTACTGCATTCATGCCGTCGAATCGGCACTTGTCTTCCTACTAGAGAATTTCAATTTGGTAATCACCACTACTGCATTGACTGCAACAACGCGGACTTCCCACAGCAGGAGAGAGGGAGGGTAACTTAATGGGCTACAATGTAAGAATCGAATGAATACCTGTAACTCCCCTCCTCAATGCAAATTAAACTCATTTTTCTCCTTTTTTGCTCAAAATTCAATGGATGATTACAGGTATTTTTCGCTATTGGTCGGTATCATAAGTCCTTAAATGTGCTGTGGAGCAAGAATTTACTTCTCTTGTACCTTTGTTCCATCTTGGCTTAAGTGTAAGTCATCTGCAAACTATTATTCGACAAAATTTCCCATCCCTATTTTCAGCACGCATATTCCGCTGCTCTAACGATTGTGTAGAGTTAATTATTTCGCAAATTCAGGGTGTCAAGATGGCGAAGAATCAAAGGCGGCTATCTTAAATGGAACATAGAAATGCATTCACCGAGGTTCACTTATCTCAAAATTCTAGTTCTAGAAGGAGTTCCCTACGCACACCTGGCGTAGTAGGAACTGGGGTTAGTAAGCGTGAGCTTAAACACCCTGTCGACCTCCCATTTAGAGTAGTCAGTGGGCAAGGCCATCACCACAGCCGCCTCCATTTGCCGACGTGTAGGAGCGGGCAGACGTGCAGACGTGACATCCAACTAATATCTCCCACTGGAGAGCGCCGGAGCCACGACCTGGCCTCCGCTTACAGTATTGGCTGACCTTGGCCGTGTAGAGAGTACTACCTCACTTAAAGCGCATCTGTGCCATTCGTGGTCTCGTTCAGTTAGGATGGACAACAGAGCGAGAGCTCACCGATCCAGAATGCTTAAATATTATCCATGAAAGACCAAAAAAGGAACGTCCTCTTGGGTCGCAGGCGTCCACTGCGTATTGGATGGAACTCATCTACCTTCTTAGCAATTTTAGTTGGAGAAGAAGTTCTTAATAAAACCCTTAAGGTCGTGACAAGTATCTGGGCATTAAACTGGTGGAATGGACTAGGTTCTTAATGTGAGGCCGCATATCAACCCAACGCTAATGACTTTTCACGGGTGTGAACAGAACTTTTCCCAAATTATTTATTTTAGCAGCGGATGAGGTCAACCAACGAATGTCCGCAATTTTTTATTTCTCTATGTGATAAATTTTAGAGGTAAAAGTCGCACCCTAACCCTTCCTCATATTTAAGTAGTCGCGACAGCTCATCAGCCTTAAGTGCAAAGCTTATTTGGGCAATTGGAGACATCAGAATTTTGTGAAATCTCGTACCCGGTTAAAAGAAATGGAAAATGCAAAATATCAAATTGAAGTGATGATAATGTAGTTAAGGTGCTCGCACACCGTACTTCAGGTGATGAACCCTATCTGCAAGGGTGAGCCGTAAACGAGGGCGTCTAGCCGGACACCTCCTGCAAAGGTGTGATTCAATGGAAAGAATTTTTGCATTTTCCTTAATTTCTACTCACTGGATGCTTTTAAGTCCGAATAACAAATGAAGTCTTGACGGCTTAAACATGAGACATCAGGAATAAGGAGTCACCCCGTAAATACGACTGGAATACATCATGAAAGGAACTTTCATTAAAGGAAGGGAAATTTTTGAGATGTGGAAAAAATCAAATGTGTTCCAATCTAAGCATTCTGTATTTATGAGTATTTTGCAAATCAAAGGTATCACAAGTAACTTGCTTAGTGCACCCTGTTTGAAGTTGCTGTTGGGCACTTAACCCTGCGCCTTATTTAGAGTTCAGAAGTTCCCAAAGTACAGACTTCTTAAACAGGCTTTTGTTCTTGTGTTCCGTTTTGGATAGACTTTTCGGTACTCTATTGGGGAACAGCATAAAAATAAGGCGGCTAATTTATTCACTGGGAGTATTTGCAGGCCCCCCTGGGAAAACCGACTGGAGGCGTCCGTGAATTTGCAGATTACCGAGTAATATAAATGAATAAGTGGATCAGTTGGGTACAATTTGTGGCAAGGTTGGGTGATAATAAAACAATGCGTAAAGCGGGGATTAATAAGGTACCTCTTTTACGAGTGCTGTGGGTGTGTGAATTGTGTGCCAAGGATCCGCGGAATTAAATTTCCTGCTACATCGCTCACTTAGGTATAAAGCGCTCACACCTTCCGTAATGGTTGAGTGCTTTTCGCCTCCCATCCTCTAACTTGCCACCCATTCCTTAAAGATATAACACTCGGGACCTTATTATTATAGGATAGTGCTGATATTAGCTAACATGGCGGTCGTGGGGACCGAATCAAGGGAAAGTGTAAAAAACCATACAATAGCGTACACAACTAAGGCAACCACACATCCTGTGCCTCGTTTTGTACATCATCCTTAGCCTCCCTGCCCTGTGGTTGGCCCACCCACTGGTTTTCATCGCTGCGGGATTGCTAAGCCCTGACCTATACCAGTTCATGTGCCGAGCGCATTTTGAAGCTTGCTTCTCGGAGGCAGAACCTGCTTAAATTCATGGGAAGAGACGAACGTATCTCTCGTTCCAAGCTCCCACCTTCCCACCCAACTGTTTCTGTGCTCAACATTCCGCAACATGATAAGGTACCATATTTAAATGATTTCTTTTATCATTTTCGTGGAAATGTAATGAAAAGTCTGCTTCGTTTGATTGAGACCTGACTCTGTTTCTTTGTATCATGCACCCTAAGTCTGGATAATTTCCGACTTGAGGTAATGTAGGGAAACTGAAATTTACTTTCTTCCTGGACTTTTTGTGGTATCTCTCTAGGTTTTAGTATCCACAGCACATGTGGGTTTGGTGTGAGTTCAAGTGGTTCTTGTAGAATGGGCTAAATTTGTATTCCTCTTCATCCGAGATGGTAGATGTCACTGTCGCTAGTGTGGCATTCGAAGTCACTCTTGACCACGCTACAAGAACTTCAGGATGGATGGAATGATCGAAGGGGTCTACGAAGCGCCAGGTGTAATTAAAATAGATACGCATGCTGTCTGAAGATTTTGCAAGATCTGTGCAGTAAAAGGAGTCTTTACAACACAATTATAACGCATACAAATATACCGTCGTGCAAGCTGATTAAAATAGGAACGTGAATCATAAGATTAGATGCACAAAACTTCTCTCTGTTTAATTTAAAACGCTGTTTCGGAGCTCCCGGTGCCTCACAGCTTGTGCAATTTGCACACCAATCACAATTTGGAGGAGAATCTGCCCAAAGGCAAACCCGCCGAAATGACTTGCACTGAAAACTCATCCGAGAGGCAGAGTTAACGTCTAAATGATGATGATCAACAGAAAGGAAGCAATTTGCATACCGCATGAGGGTAATGTAAGTATTTAACTGGTAAAAGACAATAAATTTTCTTACAATCCGGATGTCACTTTTATTTGGAAGACGGTGGCTCTCTAAATCTTCTGCGTAGTTCACTCTTCAGACAGAAATCCTACAAACAAACGCTTTTTGGTTAGAGGTATATCTACTGTCCAAGTTGCCTCCACCATCGGTGTCATGCGAATGTGAACCAAGAGAGGAAGTGAGTTTTTGTATATTCGTTACCCTGTACTTCCTCCCATTTTCGATTCATTCACTTTTATCTCAAAATAACTTATTCATTTTGCTGTAAGTTCCTTCCGTAGTCCTGACGCAGCAAAACCAGTGATGCAACCATTATAGGTTTTGGACGCCTCCCAGCGTTGGGAACCTCGAAGCCTATAAGGGTGTATAACTTCCGAAAGACTGTAAACAGAGCCAGTAGGTATGTTGGTGTCAAGTTAGGCCAAATTAGAGCAGATATTAACAGGCTGCATTTTGGCGTTACTGAGAAGATTAATAAGCTGAACCAATGAACTGCATAAGTAGCTAAAAATTATGAAGCTGAAAGGTTATTGCGTTCCTGGAGTAAAAAAGAGGGAACAGTTTCACCCATTTGTGCTCTATTCGTTTAAATGTTAAGCATTTACACGAACTTACAAAACGCACCATATAATGTCCCGCCACCGACCCACCTACCGCCTCCCAAATGCAAGTTTCATTCGATGGCGTTTGATGGAAAAACCCGTGTTCGCCCCCTCCTCTCTCTGACATCAAGAGCTTATTCAAGTGGACTTTAGATAAAGATGGGTTGGGAAATGGGCATTTAATCACTTTGGAGTCGTGTAGCTTGAGTGATTCTGACAAGGTCAAGCCCCAAAAAGGGAAATTTGAAAATAATCCATTTCCCGTGGTTATTTACTCGACAGACAAATATTATTTTATTAGAGTTCCCGTACTTCCTCTTGCCTTACTTTGATCTTGATGGAAGGAAGTAAGTATCAAGCATTAATAAATGATGACAGGAAAAACTCCGCCTCATCAATTGCAATGGAGGTTTGTTTGAGGTCCAACAGAAAATTATTTGACTTGAGGGTAAATTCCCACAAGACTGTTTATTAATTTGCCCTTCTGAATTATAACTCTCTAAATATTACCTATCAATTTGGTAAGGTTATTCTACTTACCAATCCTAGCTTATTTGGCTCAGAAAAGACCTCAATTTCCTTTCTTAAGCATGACAATGCTTTTTCCCTCTTTTAGCTGATAAATTTGCCCTAGCGAGGGCGGGAGTAATGCGAACAGTGGCATTTTTCCGTCTTCACTTTTGGATACGAATTTATGCTTTTCCTTATCAGGAGCCTAAGGAAAAATTGGCCACTGCATTCTGGATGCCACAATGTTCTGATAAGACGCCAGTCTCTGCCAGTTTTTGTTTTGACAACTGAAAAGTGGCATTATCCGTAGAGTAGAAACCTTTTTGCTTCTATCTTACTGTTTTAAAATTTACTATTCTACTTGCGGCAAAAGCTGCGGTACGCGTTTGCGTAGCAGATGGGGCGAGAAGGTCAGGTCCCCACTTATGTACAACGCTGGTAGAGAAGGCGTTAATCCGCAGGCTTGACAGCGCATACCTCATGAATCATTTTTTGGAGGATGAAGGTAGCTCCTCACCTATTAACTCTCCCGCTTTGAATTAGTAGACAGAAAATTTGCCTCTTTTCCACTAGCCTGAGCGTTTGATGCTAATAGAGGAAGGAGGGGTGACACTGGGGGCGCGTGTGTGTGGATCTAGAGGGAGGGTGTCAGCGGCTTTTCGCCAAACACGGATACGATTAATCGAGCCCAGAGTAAGTGCGTGTTCCAAAGTTTAGAAATGGTATACAAGAGCAAAAAAGAGACCAATTCCAAAGTTCACCGACACATTTAATTGAATCACTCCACAATGCGGTAGGTATGTGTGGCATTGAGGTAACTTGACCCTCATTTACTTCATTAAACCTCTCACCCCGGTGCTATGCTCCTTACGTGATTGTTCAGGTAACAAAACATAAGAGGTGAGCTCCCCTTCTTGGAGAAAGTAGTTTTGATAATACGATAATGGACTTGGAATACCTTTTTTTGTCCATTAGTGGAAGATCGCAGCAATGTTTGTCATCCAAGATAAATTGTGCAATGGTTGCAAGTACTACATTCCCCTATCAGTACCGTTCATATTATTACTATCGTACTTCTTATACCCCACAGCTATCTGAACTATCCTTTAATCTTTCTTTAAATAAATACATTGAAAAGGTTGATGATTTAATAGTGTCGCGAAAGGTAGAACCATCATTGAGGTTGTTTTGGACGATAATACGGCTAGTGAACACGCTGCATGGTGGTCGTTGGTCTGAGAAGTATTGTCCGGCCTACCTTAATCTTGACTTTATGCGATCGTGAGCCTGCATAGGGGCTGGTGAGCCATTAACAGAATCGACGTAAATGGAATGGCACGGCACTAAGGTTATGACTAAATCGCTAGAGACAATCCAAAATAGTAACATTCTGTTGCAGCTTATATTCATGCAATAAACTCAGAATTCCTGGACGCATTCGGATTGATAAGTGTCGTGGCCATCAAAAATGAATTGGCCAGGTGAAGGGGGTGGATAGACTGGTGGGTAATGTCTAAATAATAATACGAATAATAATTTTGAAAGGCAAGCTAGGCTATATCAGATCTGGTTAGTTAATTGAGAAGGCTGGCCACCACAATTAATCGGATAAGGTGTTAAAGAAGGGGCAAGCTTTTGGGTAATTAAAAAAAAACAACTGACTGACCGCATCTTACTCCGAGCTGTAGGTTGCGGAAGTGTTCTATTCTCAAAAAAACAACTTGCCTTTCAAGGAAGCATCATCCTCTTTTACCATTTCATTGTAGAATTGCAAATTACTTTACTTTCTGGGCGCTTTTTCTAATCTGAGACGGAACTAATTGTTCCATCCATTAATCATGCCTCTTCCCCTGGTTTTACGGCTTATGAAATTAGAATTCGAACAAATATTTGATTGTAATTTTTCACCGTTTATTTTAGTAACTCTTTCAGTTGAATTTATTATACCGAAAGAAGTATTTTACTACAACTACATAGCAGAGGCTTTGTTCAA